ATTCGGCGCATGTTTTATTGGTATGGGACAAGCGGCTAAATTGCGTTATATGGTCACTAAACCGATTTTGAATTTTATATGTCAAAATGCTCAGCAGTTCGAGCTGGTTCAGGATCAGTTGAAAAACTATTGGGAAACACTTCTGGAGCGAGTTATAAACACTTGAAAGTTGGCAAGTGTCGTATATGGTCACTAAACGGATTTTCGATTTTCCATGTTAAAATGCTCAGCAGGCCGAGCCTGATTCTAGAACAGTTGAAAAAACCTGTGGAAATACTTCTGGAGCGAGATATACCACTACAAAGTTTGGCGTCACCCCGGCCCACTACATAACTCTGTCGCCCCGGCGAGTCAGTTTTCGGTGTTGCGAAAAATGGTTGGGTTCGAAATGGGTTTGGCATGACTACACACCCGATCTGAGCCTAAAAAAGGCTTCGTGCCACCCCGGGGCCTAGGTCGCTTCGGATGGGTGCGAGCTCGTCAGGTTTCGAAATGGGGGCGCCAAGGCCGGCGAAGCGGCCGGGGGCGCCCCCATTTCGAAAGAGTGAAGCGGCAGCCCATCCGAAGCGACGGCCCACCTTGCCTGACAATGTATTTTTACCCATGAAAACGGCAATTCTCCACCATTCCGTTTCTTTCCGATGGTACAGTTGGCGTATTTTGGTGTACTACGTACTACTCAGGGGCCGAATGGACGGTTTTGTAAGCTAGATATCTCGCGACAGAGATTTTTCCTAAAAAGTTTTTTCAGCTGTTCTAGAATCAGCTCGGCCTGCTGTGCATTTTGACATATAAAAATCGAAAATCCGTTTAGTGACCATATACGACACTCGCCAACTTTCAAGTGTTATAACTCGCCCAGAAGTGTTTCCCAACAGTTTTTTCAACTGATCCTGAACCAGCTCGAACTGCTGAGCATTTTGGTATATAAAATCCAAAATCGGTTTAGTGACCATATAAGGCAATTTTCCCGGACAAGCAACGTACTTTGAAGACTTGGCTTATTTGGGACTGCCTTGAGAGTCAAAGCTTAAAGCAGCGAGGATCAAGCCAGCTTCGTTTTTGGAAAAATTACGCTAATTGATAACCTGTTGATCATGAACTTGTGTTTTTTAGCTAATTCATGGAAATATCTTTCAGTTACTGGCTTGACGGGATTGACTTGAAATGTTAAGCCTGGCTTGTGGAATCAACCGACCTTTGTGTTTTTGAAGAATTATATAAAAATTAATTACTAATTCTGACGGGCGGGTTTTTAGCCCTCAGGCAGGTTGATTCCCGGGCGCGCAATAGCAGTGACAGCCTTTTAGGTCGCGGCACGCACCGATTACCGATGTTTCTGCTGAAACAAAACTATTATAAGTGTAAGAAACTATATTGCTTTGATCGCAAGTTTCTAATGGCAAGAATAGTATAATAATGCACGACGGTCGATTGTATATATGATCAGGGGTAGGCTTTACAACGGGGCGATAAAACCTTTGCTTGCTTGTACGTATAAAACCAAACATCCAAGAAAAGCAAGATTTATCCGCAAGGGAGACATTATCATATTTTGTCGAGCTTCAGCTTCTCGGCTTGACAGCACGGGTGCAATCAACGGAAAAAAATTTTGGGCCAAAATCATGACTATGGATGCTTCGCGCAAAATTTCCACTGATACCTTTCCGGACTCGACGACCACTCTGAATAAAGTATTTCATATTTGTAAAAGTATGCTTTGTTGTAACCGGAACCAAGGCAGGCCTGTTGTTCAGAATTCTCCCGCTGCCGGACAGCGTAAGATCAGCGCTAAAACTATGCTTACAGGAAGTTCGCCTTGGAAAGAAAGAAGCGGCTTAGTTTTGGATAGTTCTGGTCTATTTGTTGAAAAACCTCCTAGTTTCTCAGCCCAACCCTGTTCGATTCATAATTGTTTCTTAAACCTATGTGACCTTAGGAAAACCCTACTTTTCATCAAAAGTGCTCGGAAGTGTGGCTCGAAAGCTTCTTGAGTGGATACCCTAAAGTCATAAGTCAGAACTGATTTTAGAATTGTGTTAATCCTGATGCACTTTGTGTGGGATGCGTCTTGCTGTTTCCAAAATATTTGGTTTTATACGTACAAGCAAGTTAAAAGATTTAGCGCCCCGTTGTAAAGCGTCGACCCTAGCAATGTACTGCTGTCCATGTGATTATACTATTCTTGTAGCTGTAACTGTAAGATAAAATAAACTTGCGATCAAAGCAATATAGTTTCTTACACTTATAATAGTTTTTGTTTCAACAAAACATCGAGTAATCAGTTGCATTACGCGACCTAAAAGGCTGTCACTGCTATTGCGCGCCCGGGGAATCAACCTGCCTGAGGGCTAAAACCCCGCCCGTACTAATTCGTAATAAACTCGTCAGAATTTTTATTTTTGCTACTTATTTGTAAGGGTAATTTCACAGCTGAGAGCGACGTTTTATACGTATTCTTCTTAGTCTCTCTCTCTCTCTCTCTCTCTCTCTCTCTCTCTCTCTCTCTCTCTCTCTCGCTCAGTAATCCCCGAAAGCCATAACTGGGAGATGCGTTTAATCGTCACCAACGTCATCTCACTCCGCCATCACCAGTTTTAAGTGTCGGCTTTCAAGCCAGCAGCGCCCCTTCTCGATGTATTCACCCCCCTTCCGGAAGCCGAAGCGCGAGCCGATAAAAGATGCCGGCCACAAAGTATAGTAAGGTAGGTGAAGCGTTGATTTTGCTCCCAATACCGCCCAGGTGGTAACAAAGATCAAAACACGGCAAGAGGTTCAGGCCCAGCTATCAAAGGTATCCCGCTGGTAGCCATTTTTGCCTTTTTAGCTATGGCCGACGGCTCTCGGGGTGGCCTTCGTGCGGTCCTGGCCAATTCCCACGTTCTACGCCGCGTCGGATCCATTGACAAGGCTCAGCCAAAGAATCAGTATTATACGGGCCGGAACTGAGAATGCTGATACAAGATGGTGTATAAATTGGGAAAAAACAAATAAAATATCTTAATTTGCTCTAACCACTGCTTTCCAGCGGTCGTCGGCCGGAACAACATCGACTACGGGCGGTCGGTCTCCAGCCAGAACTACGACACCATGTTCCCCACCCTGTCCCCGGAGGAGCGGAACGCCCCCAAGACCTTTGAGCCGGCCGAGTTTGGATATTATGGGAGGTTAGTGCTTGTTTATATTTACTTAAAGGGATACCCAATGTTTTTGGCAGCTTAGAATATATATAGTTATGTATTCAGGGAAGTACAAATGACGCCCCAATTTTGTGCGGGGGGGGATGCCCAGTGCCCGACTGATCTGACCCCTGTCCCCTTGTGGCGTCCCCATCTCCACCAATGGCTTGCCACTATGGCCTCAATGGGTAGCATCCGGGTCTTGAAAGCGGGGGTCGGGTTCGACCCCCGCCCCCGTCATAGTTTTTGCTTTTTGAGCCCCAGAAAAGGTTGGGTATCCCTTTAATAAAAATTTTATAATTATATATGATTAACGTATTTTTGATATCATCAAATTTTCGGATCTTATACCATTATCGGAGGGGCTTCCTCTGGGGATCCAATTTTTCCAATATAAATCGATGAAATATTGCTAGAAGCTCAGTTTTTTACGAAACGCACAAACGTTGAAATTTACGTTCGGCATACAAAAATATAGAATTTTTCGACCAATAACAGCCAATTTTCAACGAAAAATTTTTCTGAATTTTTTATTTTCGAAATTTATTTAAATTTCGCGAAAAAGACTATGAAATCACTTGCTTGTTGGTTGCCATGTATTTCTGGCCTTGGAAAAATGCTCCTTCCCCTGATATTGCCAAAGAACCCGAAAACTACAATAGTTGAAAACACATTACTAAATACGCTAAATCCAGAATTACATAAAAAGCGGTGGGGGAATATTAAACAAGGCCAGGATGGAACGTATCGATCGCGGGGGCTTCGAGCGATTTCCGATAAAAGTCCCCGCAAACTATTCCCGAAAATCTGATTCCCCCCAATCTGAATCCCGAAAAAAATCTGAATCCCGAAAATCTGATTCACCAAAAATCCGATTCCCGAAAATCTGAATCCCGAAAACTATGTTTTCCCGAAAATCGGATTCCGAGGTACTCGATTCTGAGAATCTGGCAACCCCGAAAATCCGAGCCCCAGAATCCAAACCCTGGAAAGACTGCGCTCTGAAAAGCCAAATTGGAAGAAAACGAAGTTAAAAATTAACTATATTGAATTCACCGTCTTGGAAGTCGCCCAGGAACTTTAGAATGGGTTCTGGCACACCAAAATCGACGGGGGGTGAGGATTTGGCGGGGGGAGGGGGCCTCATAGGCAGAGGGGTGCCTAGAGCAGCAGCGGCGGACGCTGAGACGCAGATTGCCCCCCGCCTCAAGCTGAATTGTACCAGGGTTTTTTTCAGTTCACAAACCGCAGCATTCTTCAGACTCAGCATCTTTTTCGGGAAACAGA